TCAATACAAACCAATACTAGCTTTTACATTATATTTATCAAATTAGTATCGAACTAGATGTAATCAGTCTGGCGTACGCATATATGAAATTTAACATGATATAACTTTATGATTTCTACCTGCAAATTAAATTGCCCCACAAATATTTTGACCAGAATCAAAATGCATAGTATTATGACAAAGTAGCACAATGCTCGAAAATAACATTTGCGGTTACACGCGGAACTTTAGACACCAAATACCGCAACCATAACATTTCATGATGTTCGAGTAGCGTGAAACAGAAACTGAAAAGCCAGACAGGATATACCTGACCTAACCCTTTAGCCAGAGATAACCAAGTACTGGTTGTGGTCAGTCATCCATGGAGGTTACACAAACCTAATGTTACTTATTGTATCCTTCACCAATCCATTTCCGGAATTCTCTTTATTGAATAGATACACAATATAAAACAGTGAAACGGATCAATGATTAAGAAGACATTCAGTTTTATTGACTTTGCTCTTCACTTAGCAGATAATACATTTAAACATAAAATATCTAATTAAATGTATTTTATAGAGTTCAGAATATTTCTTATTTCAAGTAATATACCAAGAAGAGACTTGGTTTACAAGTTTATCTTTTAATCTCACACATCCATTCATTCTTTGATAATTAATGGCTAAAATCCGATATCTAAATATTACTGTTATCTAAATATACATTCTTTTGTTATCGTTTATCTTAAGTATCACAATCTTCCTAAGACACTACATTAATTTACAAATATATATAATGAGGCTCGAAAGAATCTATCAGTGAAAAATGTAAAAAAGCCCATCAGAGCCTACATCAGCTATTCGGATGCATAAAAATTCTTTATTTTTCGTGTGAACAAAACAAATAAAATATACGTTTCAACCCTTCAATTCGGATCCTTATCAAATATATATAAAATATAAATCGAAGTTACATAATTAACGCAAATTCCAAGTTGATGATTCCCGACAAATTAATTAATTCTTCTTTATGTGAAATTAGATTTAAAAAAAACGAAGGCATATGCGTCACTACGTAGAATCACATCACTCATCAAATTGTCAGATTTGATGTAAACGTTTTCTCGCAGCTTCACGAAAAGGACTTGTGGTGTCAGAGATACAATAATTTACATTAATGTCACCTATACCCAATTATTGTACAGTTTTAATTGTTGCAAACACTATTTTTCCTTCATATTCTTTTTTAATTCTGTCAAATTTCATTATTTTTGTCAAAAATGATCTGATTCTATCAACAATGATTTTTAAATAAAGAATCTATTGATATATTACACTATTGATGTACTATATATATCGATGTATGCCTTTCTGATAGAAATACTATATTTCAGTGTTCAACGCTACATACATTTCCATCTTTCTTAAATGTAACTAATCTGCATAGATCACGAATTTACTTTAAATTTAATTTTAATGTGAACGTTGCAAATATGCAACTCTCTGGACAGTCAATAATTAATTTTCCATACTTTTTCTGTACCTTATCTTCAGTTTTCTCTTCTTTTCCTCTTTAGCTCTTTCTTTTCACAATTTTCTTAGAAGTTGCCTTTTATCTAATACTTATATTTATATTTTTATTTTTTTAGATATCTAATAAAGTATCTAATTAAATTTATATATATCAATATAAACAATAAAATATAAATATATATATCATTATAAACAATGATTGTTTCTAAAAATGTTATGTAACATCGGATTAATACATTGAATGTTATAACAGATAATTGATAGAAAAACAGTAAAGAACAAAGAAAAATAGTTCAAAAAGTTTTCATATGTTTATACAGAAACCAACATGTTTTCGCCTGTTTGTCCGCTTTTTCAAACATGTCTTCAAGTATTGTACGAATATACACTGACATACCGCAATATAGCAACATACTTCTTTCAATTGATGCACTGATGGTCCACTGCACGTAAAAGGATGAGAGAAACGCTGACCTATATACATCATACAGACTGCTGCTCTACACGAGCACTGCAATAGAATCGACCTCGTCGGTTGTTCTGTCGAAATCTCGACGACGTAAACTTTCCATGTCGGGTATGCCTTTCATCCGAAACTCTCATCCAGTCTCAAGAATCGTTTGAACCAAACTTTCCTCCCAAATCACTACTGGACGAGACTACAATCGTTTTCGGTTTTGGCTAGAAAAAAAACAAAATTCTCTTCAGTATAATTCCACTTATCTTGCTGGCATATTTGAAGAGGTCAAAGGTAATGATTAAATATAGGGGACAAATATACGTAAATCCAGAAAAATAATTGTCATTGAGGTATGACTGAAGTATGTACTTGAGAATCTCGAATCCGTGAAATGGTTCCTACATAACCAAAAAATTCCAATATAAATACCATCTAACCAGGAAGAATTGCGCCAAGATCGTACTGAATCGTCGTTTCGTGATTCGTTCTTCTGTATTTCTTGTGATGATCTCTTTAATAACGTACTCTGAAATAAATTCAACTTTCATACAGAACACAAAAGAAGAAAAGCAAATCCATAATAATTGGTCTACCGAGAAATTTCACATCAATCTAAAGTTTGAAGCCGATTGAAGTACCTCAAGTGGTTTAATGCTTTCGGACGAAGCGATCTCTTCCGAATGCCTGGAAACATTGAAGCACTAGATTGTAGCCGAGAGCTGGCAATCATACTGTGGCGAAGTTTCGCTACTTAAAATTTCCGAGCATCTTGTCCAGCTTGCCAATGCTCGTGAAAAGTCTGCAAATTAATATTATTATGTAAACAAAATGCTGTAACGGGAATTAGCATATTTAT